AATATTTATTATTGAAAACGCATTCCGAAATGGATGGAAACGTGCAGAACTTTTGCGCGAAGAAATGGAGGTGATCGGTCGTCGCCATGGATGTGCTCACAGTTCACCCGTTAGGTTTCATGACGAAATATTTTCCACCCAGCATTGACCTCGTTGCCCGTACGTGAGATCAGCGTTTATTTCAGTGGTGCTTAAAATAAGACCGTAGTGGTTGACCTTCGTGTGGCTGTCAATAAAAGCTCACGGGAACGCTGAAGGTAAAATATAGAAGTAAAGAGCGGGAGCGTTCGTCACTGGGCTCGCTTTGGTCAGCAGCACTTCAGGAGGGTCAGCATTTCATCGCACATTGCAAAACTAAGTCCAGATTCAAATCTTATGGACCCAATGATGATTGTCAAGCACTGCGCTGGCGGATCGAAAAAGGTTCGATTTGCGAGATGTTAAATGTCGTGTCATGAAAAGCATGCGGGAAGCATAGCTGCGATGGTATGGTTGTTATGAGGATGAAAAATTGATTTGGGCTCCCTAGATTAGAGGGCAAAAGTTAATGTAGTTGTATTATATGGCTCGTTGGCAAAATTAATGGGTTCGCATCAAACAACTTCTTTTCACACAGATACGACCCTATTTTACAGAGCATATCAGCATTGTATAGATTGCTGGCTGTGATACCTGTATCATGCAATGCCCATGATGAAATGACAAATGTCATGTATCGCGTGCTTAAAATGTCTTTCAGGTTTATATGTTTTTTAGATGGACTTTGTCACACGTCACAACAATCTTTATTGAATTAAACTCCACTCCACTCGTGCGTTATCTCCTAGTGAATTTCCTGTTTTGTGGAACGCGTCGTACATAGTCGTCTTCTTCCCTTGCATGCTTTCTCCGCCTCTGATCGTCAGCCAAGCAAAGCATGAGATCGGCGTTCGAGTCGCCAGAGCCCCTCAAACCACCGCCGAATGCAATATCACAGGGCGGCTCGGCGCGTCCGAATCAATCGGTTCAGAAGCCTCCGAGACCCGGTGAGCGCCTTTGTGGCCCGAGTGGCCCCAATATCTGCCCCCGAGCCCGACCCGGCCCCCGCCCCGCCTAGCCCAGCTCCCGGGACCGTCCGCCGCCAGGGACGCGGCAGGCACCGCCCCGCCGGTCGGACGGAGCGTCGGCACTCGCGCCGGCGCCGCTGCCGACGACGGCGGCCCGCGCCTGGATCCGGTCCGACGCCGGCCCGGTCCCGCCGGCGACCGAGCGCGGGAGGGTCCGCGGCACCGACACCGGCGCGGCGCTTCAAATTAATTCGGCGTTTGGCAATCAGCGCTGCAAGTCCCCATCCGCCGAGACGTCGGCCTAATGTCACGCAATTAAAGTGCCGTGTTAAATCTAGCAACTGGAAAACATTAGCGCGCGGGGGAAGTCATGCCAGAGATGCATGGCTGGCTTCACTCATTGTCTCGGGGGGCGACGCGATGCAAATGGGGGCTAAATGTCACGCGCTGGGCGGCCATTTTTCCCACCGCTGACGGCTGTGTGGTCCGGAGAACAAAGGGCTGGATGGAGGGCAGAAGAACATCATTGTGGCTAAATGCGCCGTAAATGGCGCGACCGCTGTGTCGGTGGTGTTAGCACAGCGCCGCCTTGCCATGCCTCCAGAGCTCAGAGGACGACGGGTGACCAGCCGTCGTCGACACCGGCGTTCGTCGACGCGGTGGCTGGACTGCAGGTAACCGGGTCTGACGCCGTGAAAGGCGACGCCGGGGCGCGGGGAGGCCGCGACAGAACAGTCCTGCCCTGTCCTGACAGGCCATGCGCCGCCGGCCGACAGAACCGGGGACAGTCCTGCGCCGCTGGCCGGCAGAACCGGTGACAGTCCTGCGTCGCCGGCCGCCAGAGCCGGTGACAGTTCTGGCGTCAGCACGGCCAAAAGTGCCGCCGCGACTGCCAATCGGCAGCCAACAGCTCAGCTCAGTGGCGTGAACACCGCCGGCAAAGGTGGAAAGGCGGCCTTCCGCCACGCCGCGCAACGCGGCTGACGCTCCGGTCGTGGCGCAGCTGCGTCTCATGGACAGCCGCCGCGCCCACCTGCAGGTCACGTCCAACATTAACTTCACGGACACCAAAAAGCGCGCGCAATGTTGCCGCGCAGACTCTCAGCGCCGTCCCGCTCGGCGCGGTCCTCGGGCCGTTACCGTGGTCCGCGCCGGCCGGAGCTGCCCGCCGCTCCGGCGTGAACCGACATGAGTTACCGCGCCCGACGACTGCTGCCGCCCAAGTTGGCTGAACCGGCCGTTGTTGATAAAATCGGCCCAACTTCTGCCGGCGCACCACCAATTGGCGCCGCCGGCCGTTTTCCTAAGCAGACGCCTGGGGCCATTTTCCGAGCGGCGGCCTCCAATCCATCAGATAGCAGAAATGAGTTATATCCAATTCAATTACACGGCCTCTCTGGTGTTTTTTCATCGCCCGCGCGGCCAACTTTTCACGCAGTAAAACGGAAATAAGC